ATAAATATGTGTTTTGGTTGAGAGGTTAACATACCAAGTTCTCAATTTGTAAGACAATGTAATTTTAGTTATAATAAAACGTATTTTTAAAGTGTATTTGAGTGACCCGTACGAAAATTTTAATAATGTATTAAAAATATATATCCTTAAAAAATTTAAAAAAAAATAAATTTTTTTATTAATATCAGGACCGGTTGGGGTTATGGCCGGTTATGCACAACCTTAGGACCGATCGGGACCGGCCCAGCCTGAGACCGGCTTTTTGCCACCACTATTTATGTATGATGAATTATAACAACTCACTACGATATAAAGCAGTGGAAAAAAACATTAATTTTGTAAAAACAAACTACTTTAACCCCTATAAATATTATTTAAAACAAATGATTTTTACAAAAATAAAGTAAAGTTGACATTATAGAAATTGGGTATTTAAATTGCAAAATCAAATGAATTAATGAAATAATTACAAAATTTAAGCCATTGCCAAATTTGGCTATGTCTCTACGTATAAATATCTGTTAATATTTTTCACTTCAATATCCTGCTAACAATTTCTATCATCTTTCTTAAAAATGTCAATTTGCAAATCTTTGGTTCTCTTCTTCCTTCTCATTGCTTCTCTAACCTCCGTTTATGAATGTATACAATCATCATCCCTTCTACATTCTTATTATTATAATAATAATAAAAGGTTGGGTTCAAATGAGAACAAGGTTAAAATATACAAGGATCTATATATCACATGCGATTTTGGACTAAAATTCATTTGTGATTCAGGTTCAGTTAAAGTTTTAGCACGCCTCTGCGTTCACTATTAACTGAACCTGAATTACACGTAACTTTTAGACTGAAATTATATGTGATATAAATGTTCTTTTATTTTAACTATGTTTTTTGTTTGAACTTCTCTCTCTATATATATAAGTTATGGTTTTATTTTTGTGATGCAGGCACATCAAACAATATTGTTGGGAGGAAGGTGGCATTGAGCTCAAATGACCAAGAGGTTACGAGTGAAAAAATCAATATTGGACATTGTGTTTATCGTCATTGTTCGCTAGGAGGAAAATGTTACTGTTGTATTTACTTTAATGTTTGTTGGAAAGATCGTAATGTGTGTGAGGATAATTGTAAATAAAAATATATTATAATTMTCAAGTGCCTTTTATTTTACATACATTTGTTTACTTATTATTCACTTTTTGCCATTTTTTTGGGTTTCGAAATATCAAAATTTTATCTAAAATAAAAAAAATACTTTTATCTAATATACATATTACCAAAGAAAAAGTCCTAGATATAATTGGGCATGCAACGACTGAAAATCAAAGTTTTAAATGAAGTGAGGCGTGGTGCCGAAGTTAAGCATCAAGTTTATGAGTTAAGGTGAGATTACACTGTTTTTCAAGGCGTGCCCTAAGAGTGAGATAAATTTTTTTGTTAATTCAATTTATGGTATTAACTTTGTATGTCCATTACAACCATCATCTTGTGAAATAAAGAATGATATTTATGATGTCAAGTAAACAAATAAATCCGTCGGTAAACTTTTTCCATTTTATTCCAAAACAATAACCAATTTTTAATTAAAAAAAAGAAACATTTTTCCGACGGATTTCCGACGGAATTCCGTCGGTAATTATATTTAACAACTTTTTTCCTAATTTAAAATATGAAAATGTTTTTTATTTTTTATTTTTATCTTTATCGTGAACACTTGATTTTGGTTCGTTGAATTATATGTTTGAATCTTTCAAATTTATTAAATTGATGATTCTCATATTTTGAAATAGTTTCTTGTTTTATGAAATACTTTGAAGGTTGACTTTTGATGAACATCATCTGGGTAGTAGGACATGTTTAGTTTTATTTGTTTTCAGAACAACCCAATTAATGGGCACATTACTTGGGATGCCTTCTATGGCGGCTTTGTAGTCATGGCGTCCTGCAGGTGAACTCGGTCCACAGGGTTAAGCCCAATAGTGGCTTACATGAACCCACCTTGTGGACTAGGCCGATTTTATTGGCTTCAGGGCCGATGGATCGATTCTAGGATTACCCACATGTGATCGTGGTTAAATTCACGGGGAACTCGAGATGTGTGCCCGCACGCCGACCCGATAGTTCGTGTGGTTTGGCCACCCCACGAACACTACATGAATTGACGGATTTTGTTTAAATGATGTTTTGAAATGAGCATTGTGAAACGTCTTGATTTCTATAAATTTAGTTTAATTGATTTTTAAGTCTTCCGCTTTACTATTGATGTAACGTATTATTGTTTCAAGTTTATATTACCATCTGTTCACTGAGCCCCGCGTTCAGCCGTGTTCTTGTTTTCTGATACGATAGGTTCCAAGTGATACTGATAAGGGACGAGACTTGAGATCGAACATTTGACTTTTTGGAGTTGGTAAACTCGTTTGTAGATGTATAATATTCTAAGCTTATAAATAGTTGTTAGAATGTAATATTTTGGATTGTAAAGCATGTTTTAGAAAKTAATCTACGTTTGGAGTTTATTAGTAGCTCTGAAATGTTTGTGTCTTTGAACTAAGTCCCATTAGTGACACCGCCCGTTCCGGACCACGGGGACAAGGGGATGTTACAGGTAAGTTTTTTTCTGTCTCATGTCATGTCAAATGTGGGATAATTAATTTTGACCTGTATTGGTCAAACACAACCTAAATGAATATCTTAAACCAAATTTGTTATCTTTTATTTAATTCAATTATTTATTATAACTTAAATATTTTTAAATTATTAAACAGATAGTCTAAATGGAAAAAAATAATTATTAAATACGCAGTAATGTTTACTTAAAAATATTCATGTTTATAGGTTTAGAAAGCATTTAAACCTGATATTGTAATTGATCTTAACTATTTAAACTAAAAGAAAGCATTTAAACCTGATATTATAACCGATCTTAGCTATTTAAACTAAAAAAACATTGCTAAAATATAATGAATTAAAGAAATTATAAAAAGATGTTTCTATATCTATATTAATTTATGTCAGAATCATTTTAAATTAATTATGAAAATGTAAAATATAAGTCACAACATTTAAATTATAGTAGATAATGATACATATAATAATATATAAGAGTGGGGGAGGAGGACAAAACATCTTCATAATTCCATAGCATAATAACCAGTTCACATTCTTATCCACTAATCATATGAATACATATCATAAGAGAGAATGTGAAATAAAATACTTAAAATTTTGATTTTTTTAATTTTATTGATTGGACAGAGAAGAGACGTATAATTTTTTGACAACAAATGTTTATCCCATTTTCTATTTATGTTAGTGATGGCCAAATTGGCCCGATCCAGAACCACCGGAGGACCACAACCGGGACCGGCCAAGGACTGGATATGGGACTGCCGGTTACGACCGGTTATGCATTTTGTCGGATTAAGGCCCGGCCCAAAAATTCAAAAAAAAGAGCCGTGAGAGAGACGTTAGGGAGCCGTTTTTTGGTAGTTTTTGACCTCAAAACACTATAAATATGTGTTTTGGTTGAGGGGTTAACATACCAAGTTCTCAATTTGTAAGACAATGTAATTTTAATTATAACAAAACGTATTTTTAAAGTGTATTTGAGTGACCTGTACGAAAAGTTTAATAATGTATTAAAAAATATATATCCTTAAAAAATATTTAAAAATAATTTTAAAAAATAATTTTTTTTATTAATATCAGGACCGGTTCAGGTTATGGCCGGTTACGCACAACCTTGGGACCGATCGGGACCAGCCCGGCTCGAGACCGTTTTTTTTGCCATCCCTATTTATGTATGATGAATTATAACAACTCAGTACGACATAAAGCAGTGGAAAAAAAACATTAATTTTGAAAAAACAAACTACTTTAACCACTATAAATATTATTTAAAACAAATGATTTTTACAAAAATAAATTAAAATTGACATTATAGAAATTGGGTATTTAAGTTGCAAAATCAAATGAATTAATGAAATAATTACAAAATTTAAGTCATTGCCAAATTTGGCTATGTCTCTACATATAAATACCCGTTAATATTTTTCACTTCAATATCCTGCTAACAATTTCTATCATCTTTTCTTATAAAAATGGCAATTTGTAAATCTCTGGTTCTCTTCTTCCTTCTTATTGCTTCTCTAACCTCCGTTTATGAATGTATACAATCATCATTCCTTCTCCATTATTATTATTATTATTATTATTATTATTATTATTATTATTATTATTATTATTATTATTATTATTATTATTATTATTATTATTATAATAATAAAAGGTTGGATTCAAATGAGAACATGGTTAAAATATACAATGATCTATATATCACATGCGATTTTGGACTAAAATTCATTTGTGATTCAGGTTTAGTTAAAGCTTTAGCACCCCTCTGCGTTCACTATTAACTGAACCTGAATTACACGTAACTTTTAGACTGAAATTATATGTGATATAAATGTTCTTTTATTTTAACTATGTTTTTTGTTTGAACTTCTCTCTCTATATATATAAGTTATGGTTTTATTTTTGTGATGCAGGCACATCAAACAATATTGTTGGGAGGAAGGTGGCATTGAGCTCAAATGACCAAGAGGTTACGAGTGAAAAAATCAATATTGGACATTGTGTTTATCGTCATTGTTCGCTAGGAGGAAAATGTTACTGTTGTATTTACTTTAATGTTTGTTGGAAAGATCGTAATGTGTGTGAGGATAATTGTAAATAAAAATATATTATAATTCTCAAGTGCCTTTTATTTTACATACATTTGTTTACTTATTATTCACTTTTTGCCCTTTTTTGGGTTTGGAAATTTTTCAAATTTTATATAAAATAAAGAATACTTTTTATCTAATATATATTACCAAAGAAAAAGTCTTAGATATAATTGGGCATGCAACGACTTAAAATCAAAGTTTTAAATGATGTGAGGTGTGGATTGTAATATTTCAGAAGTTCGAGCCTCCTTCGTTGACTCATATTTAACTCTTTTTGAGTAAAGATGTATTTGAGGTTTTTGTGGTCGGTGAAAACTTCACAGGTCTCATCGTACAAATAGTGACGCCAGATCTTGAGTGCGAAATCACTGCTGCCAATTCGAGGTTATGAGTTGGATAATTGACCTCATCAGGCTTTAATTGACGAGAAGCATATGCGATCACTTTTCCGTGTTGCATAAGAACACAACCGAGACCTTTCTTTGAAGCATCACTATAAACTTGAAACCCACCAGTACCAGACGGTAATACAAGAATAGGTGCGGTAACCAATCGATGCTTCAATTCCTCAAAACTAGATTCTTGTTTGGAACCCCGATTGAATTTAACTCCTTTCCGAAGTAATCGGGTCAATGGCAGAGATATTTTAAAGAAACCTTCAACGAATCGTCTGTAATAACCAGCCAGACCCAGAAAACCACGAACTTCAGATATGTTCGTAGGTCGTGACCAATTAATGACGGTTTCAATTTTCGTCGGATCGACTTTGACACCTTCAGCAGAGATTACATGTCCGAAAAAAGACACCTGATCGAGCCAAAACTCGCATTTGGAAAGTTTAGCATACAATTTTTTTGTTCGAAGAGTCTCCAAAACAATTTTGAAGATGTTGATCATGTTGCTTTCTTGACTTCGAGTAAATCAAGATGTCATCAATAAACACGATAACAAATTCATCGAGATAATCCTTGAAAACCCGATTCATAAGATCCATACACGAACAAATGTATTATTGAAAAAAATTCATAAAGTTTGTAACAATTTGATACCCATTGTGTATATTAATATTTACATTTTCAAAAATGTTTACTTTTTATTTGTTCAACTATTAAATAGTAATCATTCATTGGTTAATACAAAATGTAACTTACGTGTATGTATAATATATCTTTATATCATCCATCCTATAATCAATACTCTATTAAAATCTACCACAAAGAATAAATCATCTTGATCTACTAGGTTAAGGGTGGGTTTACTTGAGGCTTAATGAGCTTAATTAGTAAATGGGCTTATTCGTACAGCCAAAATGGTGTGTTTACTTTGGGCTTATTCGCACAGAAAGGGGCTTATTCGCACAGATCAAAAACAACACTTGTCCCCATTAAGTCCAAAAAAAGACCTTCATACCCTTGGCCATGAACCCTAACGTATCTTCTTCCTCAAAACACTCCCTCCCTATCGACGATCGTGAACCCTAGGTATCTTCTTCCTCGGCCGATTGCTCTATTCTCCAAAGTTAACTACTTCTCCACTTCTCTTCAAATGGATTGCTACTGGGTACCATCTGCTTGCTTCGAGTATCGACCACTGCTCCACTTCAAATCGATTGTTGTTGAGTATCGGTCGATTGCTTTATTCTCCAAAGGTAACTACTTCTCCACTTCTCTTCAAATTGATTATTGTTGGGTACCATCTGCTTGCTTCGAGTATCGACCATTGCTCCACTTCAAATCGAGTGCTGCTGAGTATCGACCATTGCTTTTGTTTCATTGATTCTGTTGGGTACCATTGCTATCAGTTTCATTGTTTGCTTGTTATATGCTTCATTGCTTGCTGTCTGTTTCATTGCTATGTGTTTCATTATTGTTTGTTTACTCGAGGTCTGTTTCATTGCTTCTGTTTTTTCCAGAAAAAATTTTGGATTTCATGATCATCAAATAATGAGATTAAAGGGTGTTAATTTGCCTCATCTCAATTTGATTTCTGGCAAAGGAAACAGTTGCATTAAAGGATAATATTGTTCTTTGGTGTTTTTCAATGGCTAATCTAATTGTCTATTGTTATCTGTATCTATTGTTGGTGTTTTTTAATGGCTAATCTACTTGTTTATTTTTCAGATATATCATTTGCCTTTAAAAATGAACAACAATATATTAAACAGTGTATAGTTCATCCTCAGGGGTAAATCGGTCATTTCTGTTATTTAGACTGTTGATTCAGATAGAAAAGTAAACAACAACATAAATTTATGTAGACAGACAAATTTATCCAGACAGATAAATTTATCCATACAGGACTTAATATAAAATTTGGTAAACAGCCCCTAACATAGTTCACATTAAAAATTGATTTAGCAAAAGAACCCATCTCTCTCTCTCTCTCTCTATATATATATATATACATATACATATTATATTGACGAGAAATGTAATGTTATTTAAAGATTTTGACTTACGATTCTATTTTAGAGACATTATAGAGTACTTGTTGGTGATGCTCTTAAAATCTCTAAAATTTACATTTTGAAAAATCTGTTAGAAATACTTTCAAGGAGTAGATGGAACATCACGATAACATCATATGTTTTCAGCATGTACAATTTAGCTCCTAGAGCTAGTAGTAATCTGTCTTTTGGTGTATATCTATACTATATTATAAAGCATTTGACAAAAAACTCTTAAAAACCATTATTTATGCATGAAGTACTGTGTATTAATGCATATTACTTAAAATTTAATATTACAAGTAAATTGTATGTAAGTACAACTTCTTAAAGCTCCATTTTTGAATTCGTATAACTAACTGCAAATAAACATAATCAAATACAGAATAAATATCTCATTTTAAATATCAAAAATCTAAAATATAATTARGATAATTATTGAGTTCTAACAGAATGTTTAATTACTATCTTTATAAAAAATTATATTGTTAAACCAAAGATAAATTACGTTATTATAAAATCTAAATTAAATTATGATGAAAAAATTGAATTAAATAAGTTACACCAAAAAAACGAGAACTATTAAATAGTTAATTTGATACTAATATCAATTTATTTTTTCAAACTTTTATGCTATCTTCAAATTTATATTTTATTCAAAAATAAAAACATTATCGTTTTCTCAAAACCATGTAAAATCGTATTATATTGATACGGATAAAGAATAAAAACTAAATATTAAAATCGAGATTTATCTCACTGCATTGCACGAGTACCCTTTTAGTTTATTAGATGAGTTATTAATTAAGAGCATTATCTCTAGTGTAAAACACCGTCCTTTAAAATCTAAAAAAACGAAAGAACGTGAGTTTGTAAAAACGGTTTTCATAGAATGTCATACTTGAATATCCGGTCTTTCTATTTCTCAAATATAATCATGCAAAAATGACTTTTTATACTATATTATAAAGCATTTGACAAATACTCTTAAAAATTAATTTTTATACATAAGGTACTGTTTTTTGATGCATATTACTTAAAATTTGAGGTTACAAGTAAATTGTGCATAATTACAACTTATTAAACCTCTATGCTTGAATTCGTGTAACTAACTGCAGATAAACATAATCAACTACAGGATAAACATCTTATTTTAAATATGAAAAATCTAAAATTTAATTAGAATAATTATTAAGTTATACTTATAACAGAATATTTAATTATTATCTTTATAAAAATTATATTATTAAATCAAAATAAATTATTTCGTTATTAAACCTAAATTAAATTATAATAAAAAAAATTGAATTAAAGAAATTACATAAAAAACGATAATTTTAAATAGTTAATTTGATGATAATATCGAGACATTTTTCTTAAAAAATTTATGAATAAAGACATTATCGTTTTCTCAAAATCACATAAAACCGTATTATATCAACAGAGACAATAAATAAAACGAAACATTATCTCGTAACTGAGCTTATAAGGAGTTCATAAATCTATTTTTCTATCCATATGAGACGCTTTTTTACATATCTGCTCAAAGTCAAAGATAAAACTATAAACATATACAAACTTATAAGAAAAGATACTCAAAATGACTCATATAAAATGAGAACTCGGTCCCAAAAGTGCCTAAAAAATGAATTTGTTTAAGAAGAGTAGCTATTTTGTAAATTTTTCTTTGAATTACAATATTGTACAACTCGTTAATTCAAATAACCACACGACTAACTTCATCAAGGCCTACAGTATTGTAACATCTCCACTCTAAACCACAAGGGTTGTGGCATAGTGATTGAGACCCTGCGGAATGTGGTGGAATATCCTATATGCCCAGGTGTGTGTGTGTGTGTGTGTATATATATATATATATATAGGGTTGGGTTCACGTGAGACCAATGGTTTTTCGTGAGACCCGTAAGACCAATTTATGTTCATTGATCAACTTTATAAGCTAATGATCTAACAATCTAAAATTGCATGGTGACAATTTTGTGATTATTGAGAAGTTTCGTGAGGTTTATGAATGTTCAGATTGTCATACTGTAGATCTAATCCAAGTGTTGAGAATTGGTCTTACGGGTCTCACAAAAAACCATTGGTCTCACATGATCCCAAGTCTACACACACACACACACACACACACACATATATATATATATATATATATTCTAAGGGTACACAACAATTGTGAGTATTGGGTTTATCAAGGTTTTTTTTTTTCTTACGGTCATAATTTTTCAAGATTAGTCTAGAAATAACCTGAGACACCCTTCCAAAATAACATCTCCACTCTAAAGAAGCAAATGGCTTAACAACCTTCAAGTCAAATTAAAATTATGATAATATTTATTAATAATCAATAATTTAAAACTTATAAAGAGTTCATCAATCTCATTTTCTATTCTTATGAGACGTTTTATCATAATCCAACAACACTGAAACAAGCTCACAAGTCACAAATCTTATTCTTTATTTATGTACGATGAATTATTACAACTCACCACGATATAAAATAGGGAAAAAAACATTAATTTTATAAAAACAAACTACTTAACCAAAAAACTATGTCACCCTTTTTGTATATTTTTTTTCTTTATTTTATTTTCTAATTATCTAAAACAAATTATTTTTACAAAAAAAAAAAATTGACGTTACATATTTCTTTCATAGAAATAAAGTATTGAGTTGCAAAATCAATAAATTTGCAAGAAATAATTGCAAAATTATGGAAAAAATTGACGTTACATATTTCTTTCATAGAAATAAAGTATTGAGTTGCAAAATCAATAAATTTGCAAGAAATAATTGCAAAATTATGGAAAAAATTGACGTTACATATACATATCTCTTTCTTATAAATACCCCTTCATTTTGTCACTTCAATATATATGTTATTAACAACTTCATCATCTTTCTATAAAAATGATGAATTGCAAGTCTCTTGTTCTATTTTACCTTCTCATTGTTTCTCTTGCCTCCATTTATGAATGTACGTATTCGTTCATCACCCCTTCTACATACAATATATATATATATATATATATATATAATCACATGTGATTTTGACTTAAAATCATATGTGATTTAGGTACACTTGGGCCAAGCTCGCATGCTCCCATGTTCACTGAACTTGAATCACATGTGATTTGTAGTCTGAAAATACATATGATATAGGCGTTTTGTGGTCTTTTAATTTTGACTATATTTATGTTTTCACCCCTTTCTCTCTCTCTTCTCTCTCTCTCTCTCTCTCTCTATATATATATATATTATAAGTTTGTGGTTTTATTATTGTGATGCAGGCACATCAAATAGTGTTATCGGGAGGAAGGTGGCATTGGGCTCAGTCGACCAAAGGGTTACAAGCGAAAAGATCGTTATTGGACGTTGTTTTTATCGTCCTTGTAACCAAGACTTAGAAGGAGGAAGATGCTATTGTTGT